AAATGCTGAGGATGTACTAATACATAGTAGTATGGAGTAATTCTTCATATCCACTTATGATGCCACAGGGCTTACCATAGGACTAGAGAAGTCTTAGGTTTAGCCTTACAAACACTGTTTGAACTTCAGTTGCAAGGTGTCAAAATAACCAGATTTTTGTTACGTAAACAGTATTTTATTATTCAAAACCCCCATACCATCATACCACTGTGGAACCAGGAAAGTAGAATAATAAAACCAAGAGCCAGCTGGGCAAGATTAGGAACTGGAGGCTAAGGGATCAGAAGCAGATCAGTGATGGAGGACAGCAGCAGCAAGATCACTGGGTAGAAAGGGGCCAGCATGAAGAGTAAAGGCTAGGACACAGGTGAGCAGTAGTTCTGGAAGCTGTTCTGACTGAATCAAAAGCTGGGAAAAGTAATCAGTATGGGACTAAGAATACTCTGCTAAAGCAAACAGTTAGTCTTAATTTATCGTGAGCCTTCTGTAGACAAAATTCTGGGAACCTGGGCAAAATCTCAAACTTATTTATGACCAGCTATAGATCAGCCAGGTGACAGTCTTCCCCAGGCACTGTGGAAGTGGTCTGTTAATTTGCAAGGACAAAATATGAAGTAAGGGTCATAAATATCTATATTATATAATATGTTGTATCTATGTCGTTGACAAACCTTGGTCTGGGCCAGAGCTAGATAAAACTGTGTCAGCAAGGAACCAGTTGAATAAAATAATGCCCTGTTGGAGTGGCCTTCCTTGAGAATTTGGTATTAAAAACAAACTCAGCTAAAGGAAAGTCCAACTGTACTTAGGTTTGTTTTCCCCTCTTATTTTGTTCCTCTTGTTTTGCTTCACTTTTAATTGAAAGAAAAGATTTAACAATTAGTGGCAGCAACACTACTGCAGAAACCTCTGCCTTCACCATGAAAGGTTGAATGAACTGTTACAGAAAGATTTCCACGTGATCAAATCTCTTGTCTAGAAAGCTGTTGATCTAGGTTGGTGTTGATAGTTTTCCTCAGGTGAGAAGCATGAAGGTTTACCCTTCCTTAAGGGCCATACCAATAAGAATAATAAAATTAGGCATATAAATTTATATATCCCTCTGCTGTCAGCTCCTTTGCTTTCTTAAGCCTGCAAGGTACAGAGCACAAGAACATATACATTGCTAAGCTTCAACAAAAGGTTGTTTGTAAACTCTCTCTTACAAAGAAGCCTTTCATTTAATAATAAAAAAAAAAAAACCCAAATCTGTCAGTCTTACTGTAAACATAGACTCATTTACATACATTTATTGTATTTAGAAAGAAAGCGAGACTTTATCTTGGTCAGAAACATGAGAACAATTATTTTTTAAATGCATTTGTCAATAACTTCTATTTTGGACTTCCTGAAATACAGGGAGATAAAAGAAAGTGAAAGAAAATGGTTCAGTTTTGAAAGGATAATTGAGGGAGAAGTTGGGAAATAAGTGCTAATAGCAGGCCATCCAAAGGTCAGTGAGCTTGATGAATTGAATACTTTTGTATTGGAACAAACCGTAGAACTTGTACATAACCTAATAGGAGCCTTCCTCCATTTGTCCTTGTAAATGGGAGCTGTGTCTTTGGAGTCCTGCCAGAGTGGAACTGCTCATTCATTATGACCACTTAAAGCAAATGATCATGGCCCTATGGCACATAAAATAATGAGTGTAGCTCCCATTTCTCAGATATGAGGCATATATTATGCTTCACATATGGTCCAATATGTGCTGGCTTTTGGAAAAGGTACAAAAATTACTACAATGAGTAAAGCTCATAAGGAAACAATTCAGCAAATAGGAAATTTTGTAATTGGAACCATAATCAGTGACTAATGCAGAGCAATATGTATGCTAATAAAATAGGAGAGGATTAAAAGACAAAACTAAATTTAATCAAAACCCACCATACATGCTCGTGTGAATAATTTCAGATATATTCTTAATCCTATTAGTTTCATTTTCCCCCTCCACTGAAAACCAAGTGTTTAAGTAGTATCTTCCATTTAAATTAAAACAGGCTTCCCTAACTAGTAAAATCTCCACCTCATCTTATTCCTAATGTACATTATGGAAGTGTTCTGCATGAAAGGCCTGGCTACAAATGGTGTAATAAACCAGCTGTTTTCATGAGAGGGCATAAAAAGAACACAGATAACAGGTAAATCTCATGCCCCTTCAGTTGCTGGAGTTCCTATGTGCCTGCAGCACTGGATGAACCTGGATTTTCCCTCTGTGCTGTCCATGGAGATGTTCCTTCTCCCTCACATCCCCAGGTGCCTTTTGTCCTTTGCCCAGGCAGAGCTGCGTGTCTGCTCCTGTCAGGCTGGGAGATTCTCTGGGATAGCACCCACCAGGGCTCTCTCCTGCCCAAAATCATTCCCTTCTTCAGTGCTTCCATGAGGCTCCCAACACAGAGAGTATAATATCTATGATAATACATCAGAATGCTCTGCTGTGGTGTAATTCACTGTTCTTTTATTGTGCATATTTTATCACTCCATCGCACATGATGCTGAAACAACTGAAATGGCTGTAAAATTGCATTGCTTTTTTGTTTTCAAGATACTTGAAGGTCACTTCTGTAATTGTCAGGAAATTGGTAATTATTTGGATTTGAGTGAATACTTGTATGTTGCAACATATTTAGAACCTAGTAATTTTTGCATTAACCATTCCATTGTATGTTCTTGTAAGTTGTGAAGTCTGTCTTATATTAGATGGAGTTTATAGATATTTTTATTTCATGTATTCATGTTTGGGTTTTTTTCTGTGATATAAATAGAAATAAAAATGTAAGAAAGGTATATGGGATGCTGGAAACCCCTGAGTTCTGGCACTTATTGATCTACAGGAGATGGTTGCATCTGATTAGAAGGGCAGCTGAATGGAGAAGGGAAGCTGTATGGAAATAGCTGTCTTTTTTCATTAAGATTTTCAAGATTAAAAAAAACCCCAAAATCCTGAACCTTTATTCTCAGGGTCAAAGCACCACAGGTGAGTGTTTTGACTGGGCAAGAGTTGACAGAGGAATTTGTTTATTTTCTCCCTATGGAGATGTGATTGTTGTTGGGAGTTGGATATTGCTCTTCCATGTCATACACAGATCAGTGCCATTAGCAGTGAGCAGCAGGGTGAGTTGCTTGTCTACATCCTCATACTCTAAGTACAGAGGGTTTTATTAGGGTTTGTTTTTTTTTTTTTTTCCTTCAGGTATATATTTCCCCAGCATATTCTAAATACTGGCTGCATTTAATCTACTTTGAGTTTGAAACAATTCAAGAGGAAAAATCGTCCTCTTACAATGTTCTTAAAATTTTCTACATGATACAGTGTCTCATTTATGTGGCAATCTTACATAAAGAAAAGTGAATTCTTTTAAAGCCTTGATGTAAAAATGGTCCCTTTCCTATAGCTCTCTTTCAGAATTCCAAACCTAAAGGCCCTTTCAGAAATGAATATATTTTTTATTGTTTCAGTAGCAAGCTGTTCTTTGTAGAATGTTTGTGATGTTTAGAAAAAAAAACTGTTTCAGGCAGACCAATGTTACTACTTGAGAGATTTTCTCCTTTCCAAGTACGTGCAAGAGAGTCAGGATTGGACTCTGTTCTAAATTCTGTGCAAAGGACTGTAGGGTGAGAGTGTCTTTGTGAACAAGACCAAAAATTTTGTACTGCAGTTAGACTTGAAGTATGGGGTGTGTGTGTGTGTTTTCTTGGAGATGAATCATTAAAGTTATTCTATTAAAAAAGTGTTGAATTTCTGTATAATTGACCCTGCAAAGAGTTCTCATGCTAACGTGTGACCGGGAGTGCACAAGGGCAGAGTCCAGAACATCTTTTTTCTGCTTTTTGATTTTATTGCTACTGCTGATTATTTTCTTTATGGTATTGTAACAAAGGGTCAAGGAGATTCTCTGCTCATTTTTTAATAAAAATGAGTATGTTAGGAATCACCAGTTAGAAACTATTGAGGAAACCAGCAGAAATACAAACATCAAAATATTTTCAAGTCTGAAACTTGTTAAATGATATGACATCCAAGTTAGAATGGATTTTTAATATCAATCACAACTAAAATAACAGCAAAAATATCTCCTTCCAAATTAAGTTTGTTAGGATAAAGTAATGAAAAGTTAGTCCAAGATACTAAATGATTCAGATTACTTCTGGAAAAATATTTGTATGAAATTTAATAGACTGTGATTGGTTTCTCTTTGTTTTGTGACTATTTTTGTATATTTAAGAGAAAACTGTAATCTTGCTGGAGACGTCTATGAAATAACCAAGGAAACCTAAAGCAGATTAATCATTTTCTATTAAGATATTTGGCATTTTTAGAGTAATGTTGTATAACTGAATTTGAGCTGAATTTCTGTAGGATATTTCATGTCTCTGAAAATAGCTATATATATCTTATCTTATTCAATAAGAAAGCCATTTCTCCAGCCCGTATCATGTGCACGTCTTGTCAGCAGCATCAGTACATCATACTCAGTTTTATTTTCACCTGGTGCCCTGGGTGGTCAGTGAAGAGGAACAATTGCTGCTGGAGTTCATGGAAGTTAAGTAGCTGAGATGCTGCTGTGCCAGATCAAAACCAGGGAGGGAATCAGCTGTGACTGGACAGGGATAAGGAGATCCAGAGTGTGGGGTGGCTGCCTGGCTCTCCTTTGCTCATTAGAGTGCAGAGAGCCCAGAATTCCTCCCTGAGTCCTACAGCAGGCACTGACTTCAGGCAGGGAGCTGAAGCCCTTTTTTCAAGAGCTTGGTCACTCTGGCTTTCTTATGTTACAGAGAGCTGCCTCCAGATAGTAGCACACCCTCATTAAGAACTATATTAAATACTTCTTATTTGCATGAATTTGTGTTGGTAGTACTGAAAGTCATGCTATTTGAATAAATATTCTAGCTGCGTTTTTATTAAAGCTGTTCTGTGTTTAATGGGAATGTTTGGTTTTGTCTTTTTTTTCCCTCTGCAGCTGTGACTCTGAAAATAGGTATCTTGGAAATCCACTTAGGGGAACATGCTACTGTGAGTACTTGTATTTTTAATGCTACATACTGAAATGTTGATTGCATATTATATGATAATTTCATTTCCTTGGAAAAACAAAATGAGTTCCTGGAGATTTTCCAAAATTGAGCACGTTGATATTTTGACTGAAAAATAAAATGCCCTAGTGGTCTTCTCTTACTTTGTCCACAAGAGCACAAATTAAAGTCTTCTAAAAGTTGATTCCTTACGTCTGGCTTACAGGGACTGACCAAGCCACAGGATTATTCTCTGTATCTCATCATATGTGAATGAAAGGAATAGTAATTGTGTCAATGCTTTAAAGACAGAATTTGTGGTGGAGAAATGCAAACAGTGAAAACGGCACTCTTCCCTGGAGCGTTCTGAGTGGTTTAGCCAGTCTGCCTCCCAGGGACATGAGACACAGCTGCTCTCCACAGTGTCATAAAAGGAGGCTGTGTGTTGTCTCCATGTTCTTAATGTCGTAGAAAAGGTGCCTCTGGCAAATTTACTCTGAAGCATTGCAGTTTTGATAGTCTTAGTGAAGGACCTGAAGGGATGAAAATGCTTATTACCCATGTGCAGAAATCCCTTCGTGAGCTGTGCCAATTTTACTATGCCAATATCAAGTTCAATAGTAATTTTAATCATCATAAAAACAGATGGGATGTTGGAGAACACTGTTTTAACTTTTTTGACTTTTGCGTGTACCTGCTCCGTGTCAGACAATTGGATCCATTTGTCTGTTGTTTCTAACATCGTCCCTACTTCAACCTTGAATTTATACATAAAGACAGATGTCTGAACATACTTATAACCTCTCTTCCAGTTTTTGGCCTTGTTTCTTAGCATTTTATTTTACAACATACACAAAAGCTTTATTTTAGAGTCTCTTTAAGGCATAATTTACCTAATAAAGGAATGTTTATTTTCTTTGCTAATCTGTCTTTCTTACCTTAAATGGTTTGCATCTGCAAGGTATGTTTTACAGAACAAAATAGTAAATTACCTACTACATTACAGATGTTGATGTATCTCTAGGCCTAAAACATTTATTCCTCCTGCCAGCTATTAAAGAACATTCATGTAGGGTTTTTTGATTTTTTTTTTCTCTCAGACAACATAAGTTTGAATGTAATACTTTAAGCTGGAACATAAATTTTAAATGTTGTAGACCAAGTTGAGAATACTCCCTAAAACTGTGTCTTTAAGATACTCTTGATCAATAAATTCAATTCCATTTGTTGGTTTTTGGCATAAGAAAAGTGTCTTACTTAAAACAGAAATATTTAGAAGAATAAATTTTTGTATCTATATAACAATTAAATCAATCTTTTTTTTAGGTTTAGAGTGAGTACACAATTACACGTAGGCTGTTTTGGATATGTGTGTCAACGTTTGTTTTGTCCTTTAAAAATAAATGTTATTAAATTTAAGAGATTGAAAAGAAATGACAGTAATGAGATTTGTAGACCTCAGGCACCTCCATGAAAAAACCTTATTTTTTTGCTATCATGTTTCAGGCTGGGTCTATAAATCATGTTGGAAACAAATTGTACTATATTCAAGATGCCCTTTCACCTTTAACTCACTACTGTTATTTGTCTTCTGTCAGATTTCAAAATATTTTAAGCATCTTGTTGTTTTGAAATGATACATTTTCTTTTAATACTTCCAGCCATTCAAAGTATCTCATATAAACAATTCTCAGAATTATTTTATTGTAGTAATATGGAGACTGCACTGGTAAATATTAATGGAATTCTGCATTTGCTGGATGGTGCATCATAACGGGAAATAATCAGTTAATTTTGTGGATAACTGACTGGCCTAAGATTTCAATGACAGTTTCTTAGCAGCACAGTCCATTTCCTGCTAAATGATGTATTAAAAATATATCTATACACACACATCATGAAGATATTATCTAATTTGTTATCTATATTCTAAAATATGGCCATACCATGTTTTGGTTTTGTACAAGACAGGCATTTGGATGGTATTTTTCCTATGCTTTATTTCACTCCTCATTAAGAAACTTTCTCTTTAGATCCTTAAAATGTCACTTTACTTTTCCTTGAAGTGTATTTTTTACAACACATGAATATTATTGCTCAAGAGGAGGGAAAAATAAATTGTGTGTATTTATCAGCAGCATAAGATTGTGAGAAATTAAAATTCTAGGCACATGTGTTTCTATTACTTAGAATCAAAATCAGTGAATGCAGATAATAATTTGCTGTATGGTTAGGATCTTCATCAGGAAAACTTTTAGTCACATGCTTGAGTTTACCATCTTCAAAAAGTTCTCAGTATTTAAGTTTTGCCCTTTTTTTCACTTGTGGAAATACTGCCCTAAATTAGAATGCTCTTCTGAGCAAAACTTCAGGATTTAATCCCAAGTGTGTAGATAACTTTCTTGTGATACTGGATGACCTGGATTTCTTTTTAGCAGCAGGATGTGGATTTAGGAATACTTGTTGCCTTCGAGAACTTCTACAGGGCAGAGAATATCTTGTGAATATTCTCTGCCCTGTAGAATCTCAGCTGGTTTCATCTCCTCCAGCTCTCTGCCCATCCTGCCTAGTCCTTGCCTAGTCCTCTGCTCCCTCATGCCTGTCATTGTCATCCTTGAGCCTAGGAAGGGGGAACAGGCTGGTGTTGGTGCAGGTATTTACATCAATGGACTGATCAAGAGGGTAAATGAAAACAGAGTTTGCCACTGGGAGAGCACAGGTTGTTTTAGTCTCTTCATTATTTGTTGCCTTTCATGTGGGAGGGTAAACAGAATTTTAATTCTGTACATGGATGGTGTTGTGGTTGAAGAAGTGATCTGAGCACAGATAAAAACACAGGAAAATTATGGATGGGTCTGGCATGATTGAAAAGAATGGCATTTATGTAGGAGGTAACACACTGAAACATTGTAGGGACTTTATCTAAATACAGACACTATGCCAAAAGGATAAACAAGAGAGAGCAGCAAAGCCATCAGATCTTAGAGATCAGGTGAACAGTGCTTTAAACATCAGATTTCATTCTCATATGGCGATTCCAAACATGGCAGCACTGGACAAGAGTAGTTCTTCTGCTTTAAATTACGAAAACTTAATAGAAATAGAATAAGAAATGTGTAATGGGGCATGCAGTAGTGTATTATCCATATTGTGTGAAAATCACTGTACGTGGCTTTTTAAAAATTATTTCAATATCATTCTTTGTGACTGGATTGTGTTATTGAAAAAGCACAACTTTGAGAGCAAGAGAGTGAGAACAAGCCTCACAGATATAGAAAATAGAAAAGTACTGAATATAAGAATGTGTGAGCAGCTGCATGCTGGTCTATCTATTCTAGCACCCTGTTGTCAGGAGTGGCTGCACACAAATGCCACAGGAAGAGTATATAACAAATGGACAAACATACAGTGGTAATTCTCTCTTTACATCCAACAATTTACAGCTTAGAACTTCATGAGAGGAAGGATTTTTTGAGCTGAAAATGTCCAGTGTGCCATGGCTTAGGAATATCAGAGGAGACGTTATCAATTATTTGTTATACAAAATAAAAGCAGTATTAATACAAAAGAAAGCATTGTGATTTTAGAAGCTACAGTTTTGTTTGGCCATGTAAACATCCTTGTTAGCTGGGGACAGCTCTGCCTCTGGATTGTCTCTGTATTTCTGGTAGAGGCTCTGTATCCCTAGGCCTTTCTGTTGGGAGCCAGTCTTGCTGTGAATGATCAGAAGCTGATTCAATCAGCTCCTCTGAGTGGAGGCCAGAGATGGTTGTGCAGCTGACTTATGCATGTACACAAACCATAAATACAACATTTTGTCGTGATACATTTGTATTGGCTGTTGTTTTTGCTCCGTGGTGCCTGGGCCAGCGTGATGGATGGCAGTGACACCTCAATAGCAAAGTGTGCATCCAAATGGCTGCATTAGTTCTTCACACATCAGCATTAGGAATGCATTGCTGTCAGAGTCAGAGCTCCTGGGTGCAAGGGAACACGCAGCAAAACCAGATGGTTTTAGACAGATTGGGAGGAATCACTGGGACAAATGCCACTTCTGTGATCTTCACTTGGGTTGTGTACAGACACAAAGCTTTAAATCATAAATGGAGAAATGGTTAATCCAGTGTTCCAGAGAAAATGAAAGTTTAAATTTACAATTCATGATTGTGTTACAATGCGAGGTTTGAATTATAGGCATGCTAACAATCACTTGTTTTGAGAGGATGTGATACTTTCTACCATAAACCTCTCTTATACAGCCATAATTCTAAGGTCAAAAACTTTTCAAAATGTGTGGCTTATGTACATTCTTTTGCGTTCCAATGCAACATATCAAACAAGAAGTACAACTGTTTCTGATACTGCTACATGCAGAAGCATAAAAGCTTACCACAAATCAGTCCTGCCAGTGTAAATCACATTGTTTTTCTGCATATAGTTAGAATTTTCATGAGCTGAACACTCAAGATTTTCCCGTTTGTCCACTAAGAAAATTCCTAGCTAAGACAATGAAGTTGAAAAAAAATGCACATGGGTTTAGATTCCTTAGCTTTTCCCCCCTTTTATCCTTTAAAAAAAATTTAGAAGCATTTTTTGGATTATTTCTGGGTACCACCATTGATAGTGAAGAGCTTTTCCGTTTGCTCCTGCAGACTGGTTGCTGTTTTAAAACAGGCAGCAATAGTGAATGACAAGGCAGCGCACTTTGGAGTGGGAAACTTTCAGGCATTCCAGATTTCCTCAGCAATGTATAGCCACAATGTTGTCACAGTGTAATAAAATTGCTATAAATGAACAATTTTAATTAATCTAGTGCTCATCTTTCGGCTGGACAGACAGTTTTGTGGGCCTGTGACTGTCTTGTGGATGCAAAGAAAAATCAGGTGAAGCTTACCTTTGCATTATATGTATGTATATATATATATATATATATATATATATATATATATATATTTGTATGTATTATAGATGCAATGTAACACTAGAGTTTCCTATGCTGCA